ACTAAGCCTGGATCGTTTCAAGGAAGAGATCGAGCTCAAGATCGACCAAGGTGATCGATCGTGTGTACGGACGTGAATCAAGCCATGCAGAACGAGAGCCCGATCGAGTTCACGACCCAATCATCCGAGGATCGACTGAAGCACTTGATCAACCCTCATGAATCGACCCAAGGATCGAGCAAAAACAGCCGTTCTAGCCGAGAGATCGAGTGACCAGATCAAGTACTCAGCTCGATCTCTACATCTTATCCGGCCAGCTCATTTTTTGGACTTTTGTGAAGGGGGGACCATTTCTTGTTTACCCTATTTTGGGCAAAGGGGGATGAACCATTCGTTATGTTTTTACTTCTTTTAGCTTTTGCTTACTGTCAAAGGCGATTTTAGCCATTGTTGAACCTTTTCAAGCTTTTTCATGTTTTGAATCTTAATATTGCTGAATCTAAGTACTTTTCTAAATCGTTCTTCTTGCTTTGTAGTTTATTGATGTTTTGCTTTTCATCTATTGCATTTTCTTCGGTTTTAACAATGTGTAGTGAGTAGTTTGTCTTTAGGTTTAAGGTTGGGGCGATTAAGAGGGTTTAAGGATTTAAGCTTGGGACTTTTTCTTTTTCTTAACTCATTCTCTTCTTGAATTTGAGGGCTTAATGCCTAAAGAGTCTTGGGAAAGATCTTTATGATCTTAGAGATCTCCTTACCTTAGCAGGATTCAGGAGTCTCTGAAAACCAAATCCAAGAGACTAGCCCATCCTTTCCCACATACCATGGATGCTTAGAGAGCTAATTAAGCCACTTTTTGAGATCTATGATTTATGCTCTTCGACCTCTTTTTCCACTATACACCATGGGTTAAGAGGAGAGGTTGAGGAAGGGATGTATACCATACACCAAGGATAGATCTATTTTAGTTTCTCAAGGCTTAGAGATAGCACAAAAAGTGTAGATTTATATTTTCAAACCCCAAGCTTGAATCTTTAACCTTCTTAATATGACCCTCAACCTTAGATCCTCCTTTTAGCATTTCAAAACCTCAAGTTTTAATTTCCAGGTCTTAAAGTTCGCATCTTTAGTTTAGTTTCGTTGCATATCACCTTAAGTTGCTAGAAGTTCTCTATTTACCCGCTTTAGCTTTCGATTTTTAGTAATTAGTAGTTTTGCATTTTTAATCCTTAGTCTTTTTACAGTAGTTGTTAACTCTCTTCCAGGGAGTTTAAAATAGTTTTCTTGTTCATTTTGCATTGCATTTAGTTTTTGTAGAATTTCTCCCTCATTTTCCCGAATCTTCTTAGCTTTGCATTGCTCTTGCATTCTTAGTGTCTTTCTACAACCTAGGCTGGATTGACACCCTTACCACTATACTACATCATATCTGTGGTTTGGGCTTTGATATTCTTGCTTGCAAAAATCGTGTTTATCAAATGGCGATGTTGCCAACTTGGGTTTGATTAGGAAGCATTAGGATTTGGAGCATAGTAAAGACTAAGCCTTTTACTTTTCTTTTGGTTACTCATTGCTCTACCTTACTGCTTGTCTTCTCAGGTACATGAATTTGAGGTCCAGTGGTGACAAGAATCTACTACAACCTCTGGACAATATTCACCAACTTGGAAGTGCAATGCATAGAAGGACAGTAGAGCAAGAACAGAACTTTGAGGAGATAGAGCAACCTGGTCTAGCTGAATTTTGGATTATGGCTGAGAAAGACCAAGAAGAAGCTCTACCTCACCGTGCTGCTGGTGCCAGGGGCAATGGAAACCCCAACCACGCGCCAAGACAGCCAAGAATCATTGGTGATGGTGATGCTCCAAACACACATCATAATCGCTTTGGTATCACTCCACCACTAGTGCAATACAACAACTTCAAGATCAAGCCAGGCTTCATCTCAATGGTTCAAAACAACAAGTTTCATGGGCTTGCTATGGAGGACCCTTTGGAGCATCTAGACAACTCTGAGCAAGTTTGTGGGATGATAAAGATCAATGGCATCTCGGAGGACAGCTACAAGCTACGGTTATTCCCTTTTTCCCTTGGAGATAAAGCAAGTCACTGGGATAAAACCTTACCTCAGGGGACTATCACTTCATGGGCTTATTGCAAGAAAGCCTTTCTATCAAAGTTCTTCTCCAGCACAAGAACCGCTAGGCTAAGGAGTGAAATCAGCGGCTTTACACAAAGGCAGAATGAGACCTTTAATGGAGCGGTTCAAAGACTACACTATCGATTGTCCTCATCATGGCTTCAGTGAAGAGATACTCTTGAGCACAATCTATAGATGAGCTCTCCCCAAGATTCGCATGTTGCTAGATACAGCAAGTAAGGGAAAATTTCTTGGGCAAAATGTTGAAGAAGGAATGGAGCTCATAGAGAATTTGGCTTTGAGCGATGGGAACTATTCTGAGAATTATGACCGAGCACCAAGAGGAGCTGATCTAGAAGCTCACAAGAAGAAGCTGAAGTCGCTCCATGAGAAGATTGATAAGCTAGTGCTTGCGAATCAAAAACAAGTGCATTATGTAGGAGAAGCCGCAGATGTGTTAGATGAGCTAGAGCAATGCCAAGAAGAGGTCAATTGGGTTGGACGCAACAACTACAACAAGCCACATGGCTATGCTCAAGGTTATCAGGGAAACAACAACCTTTCCTATAGAAGCACTAACGTGGAGAACACTAAAGATCAGGTGTATCCTCCACAACAAGGCAAACCCTTTGTCCCTTATAACAAATGCGGGTTTACAAGCAACATTGGATATCAAGGGCAGAGACAGGACAACTTTCAAGGTCCGCAACAGCAAGGAAACTAGAGTTACTCTCCTGTGTTTCCTCCTGGTTTCGTACCTCAGCAGCAACAAGCTCAACCGCCACCTCAAGATCCGGTTCAAGCAATGTTTCGACAATTGCTTCAGGGACAAGCAAGCACAAATCAGAAGTTTGTTGACATGAACAACAGGCTGGAGTCTTCTCTAACTGACGTGTCTACTCAGATCACAAACCTGAACAACAAGATCAAACAATTAGAGAAAGGCAAAGCCAGTTCAAGCGGTCAAGGCAGCTTACCCGGGAAGTGTAAGCAAAACCCCAAGGAGTATGCAAACGCTATTACTTTGAGAAGTGGGAAAGAGCTACCACCGAGGTCTGCACCTGAAGACAACGAGGACATTGTGGTTCAAGAGGGGGGGAGTAGTCTTTCGAATGATCAAGGGATCACCTTTGACGATGTGTGGATTGCAAGACCTAAGAAGGGCAAAGAAGCGGTTGTAGAGAAGAAGGTAGAGGAGGTTAGCAAAGAAAAAGAAGCTTAAGTGCCTCCACCCTACAAACCGAAGCTTCCTTTCCCTGGACGGTTCAAGAAGCAGCTGCTTGAGAAGCATAGAGCAGTCTTTGAGAAGCACTTGAATGATGTTGAGATCAAACTGCCTTTAGTTGATTGTTTGGCCATGATGCCAAAATGCGCCAAGTTTTTCAAGGATACCCATACTAAGAAAAGCAAGGAGAGTGAAGAGGTCTTGGTGTTGAGTGAAGAGTGCAGTGAAATTATCCACAAGGAGATAGTTCCTAAGAAGTTAGGATATCCAGGATTATTCACCATCCCTTGTGCTTTTGGACTTTTGAAGTTTGAAAGTTGCTTGTGTGATTTAGGAGCAAGTATTAATCTTATGCCTCACTCAATTGCAAAGAAGCTAGGCTTTACAAAGTTTAAGGAGTGTAGGATCTCTCTCGTGCTGGCTGATAGAAGTATAAGGCTCCCTGTAGGCATGCTTGAAGACTTACCCGTGAGGAACAATCACTACAAGAAAAAGGAGATATTGTGACAAAATTTTGGTACGGAAATTATTCATCACAAATTTGTGACATTCAAGATATGATATTGTAACTAAATATTTCTGTCATAAATTCATAGTTGTATCATCACAATATTGTGATGAAATCAATAGTCACCAAAATTTGTCACATTTAGAAACGCATATGTGACTAAATATGAAATGTAACAAACTTTGACAATTTTATGACTTAATATATCATCACAATTAGTTACAAGTTGAGACAGAGCTGTGAGTTACTATTGATGATGATATAGTGACTACCTTAGTCTTAAATTGGTACTGAGAAATAAATTTTTATTTTTTTTATCATTCAACTTCGTACCACTGAAGTACAAACTAACTCATCAAGGATGGTCACATATAGGGATGTCAAACAGATCGACGAACCGTGGGTTTAGCCTGTCTAGATCCGCCATGAGGTGGGTGTGGACAAGGTATTTAAAAACCGTTAAGTAGCAGGTCTCGCGGTCTTGTCTGTCGTGATTTCTAAGTTCGGCGGGTTTACGTCAAAGGCTGGCGGATCGACGGGTTCACACCACGGATTACAAGTTTTGTAAAAAAAAACAGAGCATCTTAAGATAATTTCATACTTATATAAACCAATGTAATTGTTAATTAATTTCTTAATTTTAGTAACCGTATGGTTTATTACAATAAAATCAAACCAAACAATTAAAGACAAAACTTAAAGCCCTAAAACAATTTGATCACAAAAAAGAGTTACAGAGCAAACGGAAGAAGAGGCGTGATTAATGGTTGATAAGCTGCTTTGTGTTATAATATATTATGTCTACACAGATTATATCAAACCGAAGAAGAGGTTTTATTTCAGCAAGAAAAGTAATTTAAAGTTGTGTTCTGGTAGAAGAAGCAAAAAAAAACAAAATTTCAAAACCTGCAACTTTTTATGAAAACCTGCAGTTCTAATGACATCAAACCTGCAACTTCTGCAAAAACTCGGATCATCTCTCTCATTAAGGACTGAAAGATCATACAAATGTGTAGGCCAGAGTAAAGCAATGGTCAAGCTATTGATGACGAGAGCTTGTAGGTGAAGACAAAGGGATTCAAGAAACCACCCAAAAACAGTGCATGTATGTTGCAAAAGAAACATATTTTAAATAGTTCCTTTTATAATTCTAACGTGATTACAAATAGCTTATATCTTCTTGCTCTGAGTCAAAGCATAAGATCAAAACTCAGTAGATCATTTTTATCAAAGAAGACAAGCCAGTTACTAGATAGTAAACCACAAATCATGAAATCAAGGATCACAACTATTTCTAGAACTTGGAAATATACAGATACAGATATCATGAAATCAAGGTCACACTTGTAGTCAGATCCACACCTGCAAGCATCGTTCTCAGCGCTGCTCTCGCCAGAGGCGTCGTACTGGTTTTTCATCCTCGGTGCAACGCCAAACGCAAAAGTCTCAGTTGTGGTCGTCTCGCCTGAAACGCCCAAGTCTGGGTACATTTTGCAACCTCCGCAACTATTGCCGCACTTGCAGCCAGATCCACAACCACAGTTTCCTCTGCTGCAAGACATCCCCTCGAGAAAATTCAAAAAAATCACAGCAGATGATTTTAAACAATTCGATGGCTTTACGAAATTTCTTAATTTTAGTAAACCGTATGGTTTTAGTACATTTCTTAATTTTAGTAAACCGTATGGCTTTAGGAAGTTTCTTAATTTTAGTAAACCATATGGCTTTAGGAAATTTCTTAATTTTAGACATCCCTCCGATGGGTTTATACCAAATCACCGAATTAATCAACTGGATAGTTGACAAAAAAAAAAACAACAGAAAATAGTCTAAACTATCTAGTTAGACTAAGAAATATAATAGTTATTTCCTTTTGTATTATTAATAAGAATATAAACCCATTATATATATACATACGATCTTCTGAAAATAACATAAAAAAAACCAGCGAGAAGGAGCTCTGATATTTTAGATCAATGTCTTCGTCCACTAATGATATCATAGTTACAAAGCGTTGGATGTATGAAAGAATTGATGATACTACTAATCAAGTTTCAGAAGAATTTTGTCAAAGATTGGAGAATTTTACGAGATTTGCAAAAACCAGCCTCTATTTATCGAGAATGGCAAACTCTTTTGCCCATGTTTTAAGTGTGAGAATGGAAGATTACTTTAAGAGGAGATCGTATGGACACATCTATATAATAGGGGTTTTACACTTAACTACTGGGTTTGGATTTCTCATGGAAAAGATTATAATATCATCGAGAATCCTTGTAATATAGATGCTAGCGAAGATGCTTTTGGGGCTAGCTCTCAAGAGGAACTATTGAATCCGTACGTGGCAATGGTTTCAGATGATTTAGGTAATACAAAATCAATATTTGATCAGAACATGGAAGAAGAGCCTAACGCTGAAGCAAAGAAGTTTTACGATATGTTGAATGCTGCAAAACATCCAATTTATGATGGTTGTAAAGAAAGGACTTTCACAACTCTCTTTAGCAGCTCGACTGATGAGTTTAAAGACAGAGTATATTTGCCTCAAAACTGTATGGACTCGATTGCTCAGTTGATACATAAATATTTGCCAGAAGGTAACAATTCACTGGAATCATATTATGATATAAAGAAGCTTATACGATCTTTGGGTTTACCTTACCAAAAAATTGATGTTTTTCAAGATAATTGCATGATATTTTGGAAAGGTACAGAAAACGACGAGAAGTGTCTTTTCTGTAAGAAAGATAGATTTCGTTCTACTCAAAATTCTGGACAGAAAAAGTTGCATATCGCCAGATGTTTTATTTCCCAGTGGCTGACAGATTGAAGAGATTATATCAATCTGATAATACTGCAAAAGATATGAGATGGCATGCAGAACATTCTACAAGTGGCGGAGAAATGTCTCATCCATCAGATGGAGAAGCATGGAAACATTTTCACAAGGTATTCCCTGATTTTGCATCTGAGTCAAGAAATGTTTATCTTGGATTATGCACAGACGGTTTTAAACCATTTGGTATATCAGAACATAACTATTCGTTATGCCCCATAGTTTTGACTCCATATAATATGCCACCCGAGATGTGCATGAAGCAAGAATTTATGTTTCTAACGGTTTTAGTTCCAGGTCCACATCATCCTAAGAGAAGTCTGGATGTCTTTCTTCAACCTCTGGTAGACAAGTTAAAAGATTTGTGGACTAATGGCGTTGAAGCATACGATATTTATACTAAGCAGAATTTTCTCTTACGAGCTGCACTTATGTGGACAATAAGTGATTTTCCTGCTTATGCTATGCTTTCTGGGTGGACAACTTATGGTCGATTGACATGTCCTTATTGTTTGGATAAGACTGATGCGTTTCAGTTGAAGAATGGTAGAAAAACAAGTTGGTTTGATTGTCATCGTTGCTTTTTACCGGAAGATCATACCTATCGACGAAACAGGAATAATTTTAAAAGAGGAAGGATTGTCAGTGATAGGCCACCTCATTTGCAAACAGGTGAACAACTATGAAATAGAGTGAAATCTTTTCCAAAAACTATGTATTGTGGAGGAAATCATGTGCGATTAAAAGGATATGGCGAAATTCACAATTGGCATAAGCAAAGTATTTTTTGGGAGCTACCTTATTAGAAGGATCATAAACTTCGACACAATCTTGATGTGATGCACATTGAGTAGTTTTGTTGCTAGTGCTACTTTGGTTTTAATTTGGTTTTTCTTTCTACTTAATTGGGATTTTTTTTATATTCTATTAATTTTCTATTTTAGACTATATGTATGGATGTTTCATAACGAGAAATTATGAAAATATTTTTATTTTAAATAATATTATTTGGTAGTTTTTCAAATTTTAAGTTAACATTATTATATTTTTTTTTATATATCTTTTATAATTTAGTTCAAAACTGTGACTAAAATTTTGGAAAATCGTGATAAATTTGAGATATTAAATACAGTATCTAAATAAGATAGATTTATAACAAAAATTTGGTAAGTAAACGTGACATAATTGAGATGACCTAACAGTAGCTAATTAAGACAAATTTGTAATAAACATTATGTAAAGAATCCTAACAAAATCTAGACAAAAAATAGAGTAGCTAAATAAGACGAAATTGTGATGAAATCTAAGTGATAAGGTGTGATATTCTTAAGACTATGAAATACTCGCAAACTAATACGGATTAGTGATGATTTTTTAGTCTCTAACTGTGACGATTTAAGACTATTTCTTCGTCGTAAAGAATGACAAAACTGAGACATTATGATAGTCACAAAATACAACGAATTTGTGACGTTCTAGGTAATTGGTAAATGTGACAGTTTTGTTACTCTTTTTTTATTGTCACAATTGATGACAAAGTAGTTACTATTGATTTTCGTCGTTACGTTGTGACGTTTTTGTCACCAAAAAATTTTTGTAACGATCATATTGCAACCGTTTCTCGATCGCCACATATACGTCACAATATTTTTATTGTGACGAAAGATATTTTATTGTGACGAAAAAGTTTGTCACAATGTGATCATTTTCTTGTAGTGAGTGGTGTGAATGTGCCAACCGACTTTGTATTGCTAGAGATGGATGAAGAGCCAAAGGACCCTCTTACCTTGGTAGACCGTTTCTAACAACTGCTGGAGCCATCATTGACATGAAGAATGGCAAGATTTCTCTACACTTGGGTAAAGACATCAAGCTAGATTTTGATATCAATGAAGTTTTAAAGAAGCCAACCATTGAAGGACAAGCTTTCTACATTGAAGCTTTGGATGAGTTAGCTGATGAGGTTCTTGAGGAGTTGGCACAGGAAGATCATTTGCAGCTGGCATTAACAAAAGAGTGTAGAGAGCATGGTTTCTTAAGCGAGCAGACTCATGAGTATGTACACATCCTTGATTCTCGCAAGGTTGTGAAAGAAATTGAAGGCGGATGCCTAGAGATCGATCGGGAAATCGACGAGATCACTAGATCCATGGTAACGATCGACAAGAGAATCGAGAAGGTTGGTCGATCCAGAAAAGAAATCGATGGGAAGATCGAGAGGGATAACTCGATCAGTTCAGAGAACGACTCAGCAACTAGATCTCCTGCTCGATCCATATCAAATCGAGTAAGTGAATCGAGAGAGTGGAATCGATCCGGACCAGAACGAGGGGAAGATCGACTGGATGACTCGATCTCTGAGGAAGGAACGGTTCAAGATAGCAGCCTAAAGGCTCATGACTCAGGTTCAAAAGAGGCTGATGAGGATGGCAACGTCAACACAAGCCACTAGGAGGACTGGAGCGAGCTGCTAGCCCCAAAGGTGGATCTTAAGGAGCTCCCAAATGGGCTAAGGTACGCTTTCTTGGGACCTAATGAGACCTATCCGGTCATTGTGAATGAAAACCTAAGTGATGATGAGTTAAATTCACTCCTTAAGGAGTTGAGAAAGTATAGGAAGGCCATTGGGTACTCTCTAAGTGACATCAAGGGCCTTTCACCAATGCTTTGTACTCACAGTATTCACTTAGAGAATGAAAACACTTCTTCTATTGAACATCAGACGTTTGAACCCAAACTTAAAAGAAGTAGGGAAGAAAGAGATCTTAAAACTTTTAGAGGCTGACGTGATATACCCTATCAGTGATAGCACATGGGTCTCTCCGGTCTATGTGGTACCAAAGAAAGGGGGTATCACGGTCATTAAGAATGAAAAAGATGAGTTAATTCCTACAAGAACCATAACAGGACATATAATGTGTATTGATTATAGGAAACTTAACTCAGCCACTAGAAAAAATCATTTTCCTTTTCCTTTTATTGATAAAATGCTTGAGAGATTGGCTAATCACCTATATTACTGCTTTCTTGATGGCCATAGTGGTTTCTTTCAAATTCCCATTCATCCTAATGACCAAGAGAAGACAACTTTCACATGCCCTTATGGTACCTTCGCTTATCGAAGGATGCCTTTTGGGTTATGTAATGCACCAGCAACCTTTCAAAGGTGCATGATGTTTATCTTCTCTGATCTCATAGAGGAAATGGTGGAAGTTTTTATGGATGATTTTTCTGTGTATGGTGATTCTTTTTCTGCTTGTTTGTCAAATCTTTGCAAGGTACTCAAGAGATGTGAGGAGACAAACTTGGTGCTGAATTGGGAAAAGTGTCACTTCATGGTGAAGGAAGGCATTGTACTTGGGCACAGGATTTCTGAGCAAGGGATTGAGGTTGATAAAGCAAAGATAAAGGTCATGATGAGCTTAGAGCCACCGGTTAATGTGAAGGGGATAAGGAGTTTCTTGGGTCACGCAGGCTTCTACAGGAGGTTTATCAAGGATTTCTCCAAGATAGCACACCCCCTTACAAGGCTACTTTGCAAAGAAGCCGAGTTCGTGTTTGATGATGAGTGTCTACACGCCTTCAAGACCATCAAAGAAGCTCTAGTCACCTCGCCTATAGTTAAAGCTCCTGATTGGGACCTACCCTTTGAGATTATGTGCGACGCTAGTGACTACGCTATGGGTGCTGTTCTAGGTCAGAGGAAAGACAAGAGGCTGCACGTAA